ATTATTCCACTATAGGGAAGGCATAAGACGTGCCTAGCAATTTCTCATCCAAGTGCTATGGGAGCATTTATGAACAAAACAAATGGTTCATTAAATCCCTTTCCTCCAGGAAGGTTCCCAAAGGGAGCAGTTTTTCTTTGGGCTCCCTTCTACAGCCATGAGTAAAGAAAACTAGTTGTAACATGTGGCTTATCTGGGAAAGTATCTGGACCCACAGGGCAGGATATTGTCACAGACCTATCTATCTGTTACCATGACTGCAAGTCAAACCTCAGCAACCCTCATGATGCCACTCAGGGCATGTTTGATGCAGCAGGCACCACACTGGAAGGTTCAGTGCCATGGACACTGAAGGAAACAAGGAATGCTTGTTTTCCCCATAGACTCGTAACTCCTAATAAGAATCCAAGGTTCCATGTTCCACAAGAAGCAGACAGCATGGAAGCAAAACACCCTCATGAGGAAAACCTTACATTGTTGCCATAGCTGCACTGATTCAATACAAGAAGGACAGCACTTCAATAAATTTTTGCCAAAGTAAATATCTGACTGGAAAAATGGAATGCTGTTTTTGTGTAGGTCAGAATTTCATACTTGTCTGGCACTTCCAATAAAATGTTATACAGCTTTTATTATTATAATAAAAAATATCAAATAGAGAATAAAGAAAATACAAACTATTGTGAAATATAAAAACATGGTGGTTTCACTATAGAAAATTTAACTGCAAAAGATGAAGAAAAATAGTTAAGAGGCTGCCATATTTAGAGGTGAGAAGGTTGTAAGGCACCAGAAAGCCCATCTAAGCTGTGCTTGTAAAACCAAGGATGAAATTCGAAGGTTTAACAAAAATCAGATGTGTGAAGAAATCTGTTATTTCAAAGGAGGAGAAAAATAGCTGGGCTATCGTTTATCACAGTAAAACACAGCCTATTTAGGAGAAAGAAAAGTGAGGCTCAAATTGATGAAGTCAAAGAAGAAAGGTAGTTTATAAAATGCTTGAGTCTCTGCAAGCTCTCTCTTTTCCTACTCCCGACTACAGTATTCTTTTACAAACAAAAACAAACAAATCACTACTACCAGAACAATTCATTACTGAGAACCTAAGAATTCTGCAGTTTCCCATGACTTAAAACAAGTTTAAAAAAAAAAAAAAACTTTAAGAATGTCTGCCTAAGGTCATGCTCAACTTCCTTAGCGATCAGGGAAATGCAAATCAAGACAACTTTAAGATACCATCTTACACCTACCAGAATGGCTAAAATCAAAAACAACAATGATAACCTTTGCTGGAGAGGTTGTGGAGAAAGGGGTACACTCATCCATTGCTGGTGGGAATGCAAACTTGTGCAACCACTCTGGAAAGCAGTGTGGCGGTTTCTCAGAAAATTCGGGATCAACCTACCCATGGACCCAGCAATACCACTCTTGGGAATATACCCAAGAGAGGCCTTATCATACAACAAAAATATATGCTCTACTATGTTTATAGCAGCATTGTTTGTAATAGCCAGAACCTGGAAACAACCTAGATGCCCTTCAATTGAAGAATGGATGAAGAAAGTATGGAATATATACATATTAGAGTACTACTCAGCAGTAAAAAACAAGGACTTCTTGAAGTTTGCAGGCAAATGGATGGAAATAGAAAACACTATCCTGAGTGAGGTAAGCCAGACCCAAAAAGAGGAACATGGGATGTACTCACTCATATTTGGTTTCTAGCCATAAATAAAGGACATTGAGCCTATAATTCGGGTTCTTAGAGAAGCTAAATAAGAAGGAGAACCCAAAGAAAAACACATCACAGGCGATGAAAGGAGACAGAGACAGAGACCCACATAGGAGCACCGGACTGAAATCTCAAGGTCCAAATCAGGAGCAGAAGGAGAGCGAGCACGAGCAAGGAACTCAGGACCGCGAGGGGTGCACCCACACACTGAGACAATGGGGATGTTCTATCGGGAACTCACCAAGGCCAGCTGGCCTGGGTCTGAAAAAGCCTGGGTTAAAACAGGTCTCACTGAACATAGTGGACAATGAGGACTACTGAGACCTCAAGAACATGGGCAATGGGTTTTTGAGCCTACTGCATGTATTGGCTTTGTGGGAGCCTAGGCAGTCTGGATGCTCACCTTACGAGACCTGGATGGAGGAGGGTGGTCCTTGGACTTCCCACAGGGCAGAGAACCCTGATTGCTCTTTGGGCTGACGAGGGGGGGGGGCTTGATAGGGGGAGGGGGAGGGAAAGGGGAGGCGGAGGTGGGGAAGAGACAGAAATCTTTAATAAATTAAAAAAAATTAATTAATTAAAAAAAAGAGAGAGAGAAAGAATGTCTGGTGAGCCCATAGCAATTTGCACACTTACATCTGTCCATAAAATACAATGTAGTCTTCTCAGTATTTAATAAGCAATGTCACAAGATAGGAGAAGAGAACTCATGAAAATGGGATCCTGGCACAAACCTCAACACTCATTACATGTTTATAAAAATCCCTGCTCTCAGAAAACAAAACAACCAACACTGAGAGACGGTTTCAATCTAATTATATTATGAAAACAAAAGTAACAACAGGAAATCGCAGCAGGGCATCTGATCAGCTCAATTAGCAGGAGAACCAGATAAAGTGATGGCCTGCTATTATGACCTCAGGGGTTAAAGATCCAATTTTCCATCTGGCAAAATCTAGATTTCTAACACAGATGCTGACTCCACATGCTGAATAGTATCAGGTGTTGTCTGGAGCAACCCTGAGCATCCTCCAGCCAACAGGTAGTCAGGGGGCTTTCATGCTACACTCTAATGTAATTGCTTCCTTGTGAACAGAAATAAGAAATTAGTTCCGTATCACGATCATTCCAAGAGGTATTAAAAGGCAATCACAGCAGTAAGAGAAGCCTTGCTTCTCTCCCTTCTTGGTCAGCACTGACACAACACTGTGCCATCATGCTCTACAGCACCCAGAAACTGTTCCAATCAAGAGTCTGTAAATCTCAACAAACAGCCCCTTGCTACTGAAGTGGATCACTGGCTGTGCCTAATGAGAAGTAGATCTATGTACTCAAATCCTTCCTCACATACAAATGCACTGTCTTTTTAAGTTAACAGTCAGCTGACTTTGCGTCCTTGATTGAAGCAATGCTAAACGGTTTTACAAATCAAGAAAATGTCACTCAGCAAGTGCTGGGGCCTATTTGCGAGTGTTCAGACTCTTCAATACCTATGCTGCAAGACTAAAGTTTTTCTTACACTTGGAAACATGAACTTGGTAAGTCAGGGGTCAGTGGACAAAAGCACAGCTCTTATTTGCATTAGACTTAAATCTTGTGACTTTTACACATGCAAATGTCAGTGCACATGCACGCACACACAGTCCCACCGCAGGTATAGGTCTAAGTACCTGGTCTTGAGACTTCCATTCAGAAAGGAGGTTAGCAATTCTGTGTGCACACTGTTAGGGTTTGACTCCAGAAGGCCCCACAGTCTCATCTGCCTTAGCACTTGTTAAGGTTAAAGGACCACTTGGAGACTACGGAGCCTTTAGAACTGCATAGCTTTGGGGCCCAAGCTATTAGGAGTGGTCCTTTGGGAGCTACAGCCTGGCCCCACTTTCTCCTCATCTGAGAAGACACGAAGAAGCCATGCTGTAAGTTCATACCACATTGACCCTAGTCACCATGTACCCTCTAAACCAGTGATTCTCAACCTTCGTAATGCTGTAACCGTTTAATACATGACAAGATCTGGGATGTCTTTCGTTGCTTTTATTGGTTAATAAATAAAGCTGCTTTGGCCTATGGCACGGCAGAATATAGCCACACTGGAAGAGATAGAGAGAGAGAGTAGGGGGAGTCAAAGAGATGTCATCTGCCAAAGAAGGACACATCAGAACCTTACTGGTAGGCCACAGCCTCATGGCGATACACAGATTAATAGAAATGGGTTAATTTAAGATGTAAGAGTTAGTTAATAAGAAGTCTGAGCTAATAGGCCAAAGAGTATTGTAATTAATATAGTTTCTATGTGATTATTCGGGTCTGGATGACCAGGAACAAAAGAACAGTCTCCGCTTACAATGTCACCATAAAATTATTTTCATTGCCACTTCATCACTGTAATAAACTGTAATGTAAATATTTGTCTTCCAGTGGTCTTAGGCAACCCCTATGAAAAGGTTATTGACATGGGTCATGCCCACAGGATGAGAACTATTGCTCTAAACTGTGAACAGAAAGAATCATCCAGCCGGGCGATGGTGGCGCACGCCTTTAATCCCAGCACTCGGGAGGCAGAGGCAGGCGGATCTCTGTGAGTTCGAGACCAGCCTGGTCTACAGAGCTAGTTCCAGGACAGGCTCCAAAGCCACAGAGAAACCCTGTCTCGAAAAACCAAAAAAAAAAAAAAAAAAAAAAAAAAAAAAAAAAAAAAAAAAAAAAAAAAAAAAAAACCAAAAAAAAAAAAAAAAAAAAAAAAAAAAGAAAGAAAGAATCATCCCTCCCTATCCCTCCCTTTAGTTGTTTCTGCCAGATATTCTGCTATAGCAACACACACGCCATAAATCATATTTATACACACACACACACACACAGAGCAAACCAATCTCTTTTATCCACCTATACCTATCTCTCTAAACAATTCACCAAGCTGCCTATCTTAATAAAGCCTAGACATCCCTCCCTGTGTGTGCGTGCGTGTGTGTGTGTGTGTGTGTGTGTGTGTGTGTGTGTGAGAGAGAGAGAGAGAGAGAGAGAGAGAGAGAGAGAGAGAGAGAGAGAGTTTTTAAATTCTCTCCCTTTCTCTGAGACAGTCTTTCTATGTAGTCCAGGTGAGTCCCACATGCCCCTGCTTAGAATCCAGCTGTTTCTAAAGTGTTTAGTAGCTATATGGGTTTCTTTCACATTAAGATTTACTCTCCAGGTATTTCATTTTCTTCCTCCCAGGTAAGTGGTGTTTTACAAATGCAAGTTCATACAAATTGCCCAGGGACACAAAACTTACTTGGCCTTCTGAATCCATACACAGTAGTCTGAGATGTAGAGATCATTCAAAATGTAGGCTGGGTCATTTTCCTGAAAGATTTTGTGAACATCCAGGAGACATTTTAAAACTGCACTCTTACCTGAAAAAAATTTAAAACATCCAGTCAACCTTAAGGAGGAAAAAAAATCTGATTTCTTAATTAAGAAATTTAGATCTTGGAGGGAAATGCATTTAAAACAGCTCAGAGTTTTAATAGCTTCTTAAGAATATTTTAACTTATGAACTACCTCTCTAGCCCCTTAGCTTTTATTTTTGAAACAGTCTTACTATGCTACCCAGGCCTTCCTTGCACTTGTGATCCACCTGTCTCTGCTGAGCAGCTGGGGTTATAGGCCTGCACTGCCCCCTGGCTCAAAAGCACATTGTGAAAAAAAGAGAACTTGTATTTACAGTGGTGGTGCCCAATACATACAAGAGATGCGTACGTTAGCAGGTTCACTTTCAACAACCTGAAGTGTGTGCACAGCGCAGAAGTGGTCACTCAGCTTCTTTCCCTGCCCATTCTTTAAGCCACACAAAATCTCCATCCTTTTCCCTTGGCAATGCCTTATTCCTGCCCTCTCTTTCCAGCCACCAGAGTCCACATCCTTTCACACATCCATCATCTCATGTGTAGAGTCAAGAGTTCTTCCCCATCTTTGGTTCTAGACTCTCCAATGGGTCACACATTTTGTGATGTTGTCCACCCCACCCCCTAGCATGTGTTTTCAAGACTCTTCATGGCATCCTCTAACTAATTCCTCTTTTCTACTTGACATAACTTGTCTAGCAAGTCTTGGGTCCTTTCAGCAAACCCTCAGCCCATATCCCTTTACTAAACCCTGCAATGGCAATGGAAAGGAAGCCAGGTGATGATCCTCCCTAAACCTCCCCTGCTCACTTCATAGGAGAACCCCAGCTGCCAGGATGTAAGAGCCATGGAGACTATTCCACCCTCAGTGGTGCCACAGACCACCCACTGTGCCATGCTACCTATACACTCTTGGGTCACTCAGGCATATCACATTTTATTAGTCAAGAGTTAAGTCCTTGGAAACACAGGTCAGGCCTTTCCAGGGTTAACCAGGCAGCGTCCTAATATGCAGACAATGAAAGTTCCATTGCTAGCCTACAAAATGAGAGAGCCGTGCAATGCTTAGCAGCTCAGAACTACAAGACCCCAAGTTCATCTAGTTAAGTCAAAGAAAGACTTCATTGTGACTCAGATGGACACCTCCACTGCCTGCCTAAATACGAAGTAGATAATGTAGATGGGAGAATTTCAAGAAAAGAGGAGGAAGTAAAAACAGAGCACATACCTGTGGTGAAACCAGTGTCACCCCAAAAAACCCAAAGGTGAACTGAACCTGGAAGAATGGTTGGAATGGTTGGTACAGTTCCAATGCCAATGGGATAAAAAGTGTCCCACTAGGCACACACGAACTGGTTCCCTCCTGATTTTTCTATTTCGGTGAAGAGCATGCAGCAGGAAGGTGTTAAGATTGTGATACCGGCTGTCCTAGCTTGTTTCTATTGCTGTGATAATGACCATGGGGGCATGGAGGCAGGAGGTTAACTTGGCTTAAACTTCTACATCACAGTCCATCATCAAAGGAAGCCAAGGCAGGGGCTCAAGGCAGGAACCTGAGACAGACGCTGAAGCAGAACCATAAAGAACACTGTAACTTACTGTCATGCTCAGCCTGCTTTTTCATATAACCCAGGACCACCTGCCCAGGGGTAGCACCACCCACAGAGGGCTGGGGCTCACCCCACCCATCATTGATCAAGAAAACATTTTTGTCCTAATGCTAATCTGATGGAGGCAATTCCGCAATTGCCCGTTCCTCCTCCCAGATGACTCTTACACGTGTCAAATTGACAAAAAAAGCTAATCAGCACCCTGACTGACTATAAAGAGTTTCAAGTAGCAATCACAGTCTGTGCCAGAAAACCATTCACATGTAACTTGACTTTACGTCTTTACAGGGTGACAGTCCCAGAACATTCCTTCCCAAGATCTCGTACCTTCCTAATAGAACCAGATGAACAGAAAATGCAGGGTTTAAGGTGGTAGGGAAGGTACTAGTCCATTCACTGAATCAACAGATGAGCCCATTGTGTGCCTAGCACTGGTCTACGTGGAGGAGCACAGTTATTCGTTATTTACACCTCTTCTTTTCCAAAATGTCCACCAGACACATGCAATTTGTTCAGCAAAAGCCTGGACACACTCTGCTACAGAGCTCTCAAACACTGACAGAGGAATGCTATACATTGTGACTCATATGCACTTAAGCAACTGACAAGCAATCTTCAGAGGACGCTTTCAAGCAATCATATGCAAGGGAGTTTGGGGAAATGGGAGTTAGAAGCTCTCTTCAAAAAGCTGTGTATCAACAAGCCTCACCAAAACTAGTTTTACGGAATTTTATGTCATAGCATGGAAAAGAGAGCCAGGCTGGTTGCAGCTGACAATCTAAGAGAAGCACATTAAAGTAACCCTCCCTCCAACCCGCTATTGTCATCTGAGCCCCTTTGGTTTCTCAAGCTAGCAGCCAGCTTCCCCACGGCAAGCACGGCATCACAGCTAGGGGTTTACATACAGGGGGATAGCTGGGGTTTTTAACATCTCGTTTGTACCAAATGCCCTTTCTGTCCTGTCCTCGGCTACTTATTCAGCAGCTATCCACAAAAGAAAAGACTAGTCCTTTTCTAGGCTGTCACATGGCTGGTGACCAGAGCTTACAGGGACGCACAGTCCCTGCCTCCTGTGGGGCTTTTACCCAGTTATGGTCTTGTCACACATGCTATGAGCATAAAAACCTGCTCAGGCCTAAAGCTAAGACAATTATTTTGGCTCAAAAGCACTGCAGGAAAGTGACCATTTTTCAAGCGGTTCACTGCCTGCTCCAGAGTATAAAAAACAAAGGTACCTTTTGCACAGTAACCACGGTAACTATTTTCACTGCAGGAAGGAGCTAGCATTTGTCCCCAAGATATCAAATGGCCCTAAACTCAGAGATTCCCTAGGACTGATTGGCTGGATAAGCCAACCCTAGCCATGCAAGAATGTTATCCCTGAATCTAGGGCCTTCTACTCACCCATGAAGGCACTAGAAACTAGTGTCCTGGGCTTGTAAGTGACAAAAGTCATGAATGTTTTACTTCACGGGAATGATTGTCTAATGATGGCACACAGAAACATAATGACAACATAAGAAAATATGGAGTGCAATAATAAGCAGGTGGCCGGTAAACACGATTTAAAATGTTCTCTGACTTTTCCTCCTATTAGCAGACCAGGTTGGGCAATAATCTCTCAGCGACAAACCAGCTTGTGGCTGAAGGTATTTAAGAAATTGGTCTCATCCCTAGAAGAATCAGAGTAGGAGATGCTTTTGCTGGTTAGGTGCCAGAATAGGAAGAATAATGCAAGCTGCTATCTACACCTAAGACGATCTCAGTTTCTTTCCAATGGGCAACTACAGCTTTCGGAATACCCAGCTCTGACCTATGCACATGCAGGTCAACCTGCACTGTTATCAACCTCGGTCGGGTGGTGTTCTCCAGGAGTCACCTTCCTTGGTTTTTGAAACAGTGTCTCTCTGCTCAGTGAGTAGTCAGTGCAGGCCAGTGACTGGAGGGCCAGGGAAGAACATTAAGTAGCCTGCTCTGTCACTCTATTTTATTCCCTACAGACAGGGTCTCTCACTGACCTTGGCAGCTAAGTCCAGACTTTTTATAAGTGTGCCAGGCATTTAAACACAGGTCCTCATACTTGCTCAGCAAGGGTCCATTCTGGCAAAGCTGCCTCCTTGATGTTTTAAGTTCCGCAAAACAAGAAGTCAAGAAATCAAAAGAAGACTTTAAAGTCTTGACAGAAAGGCTGCCTCATCGGTATTTATAAAATGTATCAGAATAAAAGCCAACAGTATTTATCATCTTTAAACACAATTTAGCAGATACCTGGGTAAATTTCTTAGAGTCTTGTGAGACAATATTATCAAAAGAGATATCTTAGCAATTATTTTAACATTAATTTCCATAGCTCATTTGAGCCTAAAAAGGGAGAAGATAGAAAGAAACACTGTGTCAAATCAGTCAAAATTAAGAGAAACAAAATGGGGTAATTTGCTTCATGATGAAGCCCTGTTAAGATGCAGAATAAAGTCCCTAATAACAAAATGCTTCTCAGTCTGGGTAAGTCTTTCACACCCTCAAATTCCACGTAAGGGTTCTGCATTGTAAGAAGCACATACCTAAAATGAGCAAGTCTCGTAGGCAGAGTAAGGCCAGTTTAGAAAAAACAAACAAACCATCCTTTGCTATTATAGTTACACTACACACAGTATCCACACATTAACAGGAAGCAAGAGTACACTTTATAGGTGGTCCTGCCTAAAACAGATTCAATCCAGTGTCTAATTTTCCATCCAAGTATCAATTCAGGCATTCCTTTTTTTCTGGGAAGAGAGTTCCCCAGGCCTACTTCAGGTACCCCCACAATGCCTGGCACACCTCTCCAGTTAGAGCCAACATGTACATCACATACTAGCCCTAGCTAAGTTAGGCACTTCCTTTATTTGTTTCACAAATAAGTGAATGATTTGGCCCAGTCCCAGCTAGGATTTGAAATTAAGCGATGGTGGTGCACGCCTTTAATCCCAGCACTCGGGAGGCAGAGGCAGGTGGATCTCTGTGAGTTCGAGACCAAGCCTGGTCTACAAGAGCTAGTTCCAGGACAGGCTCCAAAGCCACAGAGAAACCCTGTCTCGAAAAACCAAAAAGAAAAAAAAAAAAAAAAAAAGAAAGAAATTAAGCATGTGTGACTCTCAACCACTATATCATAAACAGTATCTGAATTCATCACCTTGCATGGAGAACTCCTAGGCAGGAAAGGATGTGACTTTTCATTCTCTAAACTGGAACAATGTCCAGAAAACCCTATGTTCCTGTTCAATAAAGGATACAGACTGGAGTAGACAGAGCTAACATTTCCACCCTTGCTCAGACTGCTGGGTTAACATGTACAAGGGTAGGCAACACCTCTGGGGTCTGTGAACTTAACTTCAAGATACTGCATTATTACAGGCATGG